GAGAAGATCTGGACGTATATTGTTGTTTTTTCCATTTTAAGACTTGGTTCAACGTTGAAAATATGGCATACAAGAAAAAAGAAAAGTGTGGTTGCTATGTTTGCTGCTATAAATGTTGCCTGGTATACATGGATCACGAATTGCAGGACTTCCGGTCATTGTGCAATTCATACTGCAAAGGATTTTCTGAAAAAGTGAGCATCAAACCTCCATGTTTGTTTTCCCAGTGGGATGTGTCTATTGACAAAGTCAGTCTTTTCTAGTCTTTTGAACCATATCACTTTTGTTTCTGGTTCTGATATTGTCATATTTTAGTTTTGGGATTCAGACATTGTAATTGTGTGGTTGTTGGATCCTAACACCAGAAAACGGCTCGAGAAATTTGTTTGTGAACTTCATAAATGCAAAAGGGAATCAGATGTGTGTGACTCAAACCTCTGTTCAAACTGTTTCTCTTCCCAACAGAATTGAAAAATAGTGAAAGGTGAAGGTGATGGGCAGGATTGATCCACAGGAAGAACAAAAAAGGAAAACTCTGACTGACTAAATCATCCCGAATTTGCAGCAAACATTTTGTATGTGGAGCGACAACAAAGCAAAACCCTGATCCCTCACTCAACCTTGGTTATGAATTGAAAAAGTCAACGCCAAAGCGAAAGGCACCAACTGTTCACCAAGAAACACCTTCCACTGCAAAGAGACCAAGACGTGATGTTGCTGTAAAACCACAAGAACAAGAAAGTGCAGCTCAGTCTGTTTGTCTTCTGCTCCTCTCACTTAACAAACAGGATCTGCTTTTTGTCGCTCCACATACAAAATGTTCACTGTAAACTCAGGATGATTTAGACAGTCAAAGTTTTCCTTTTTGGTTCTTCCTGTGGATCAATCCTGCCCATCACCTTCACCTTTCACTATTTTTCAATTCCGTTGGGAAGAGAAACAGTTTGAACAGAGGTTTGAGTCACACACATCTGATTCCACTTTTGCATTTATGAAGTTCGCAAACAAATTTCTCGAGCCGTTTTCCGTGTTAGGATCCAACAACCACACAATTACAATGTCTGAATCCCAAAACTAAAATATGACAATATCAGAACCAGAAACAAAAGTGATATGGTTCAAAAGACTAGAAAAGACTGACTTTGTCAATAGACACATCCCACTGGGAAAACAAACATGGAGGTTTGATGCTCACTTTTTCGGAAAATCCTTCCCAGTATGAACTGTGCAGTGATCAGAAGTCTGAGATTCGTGATCCATGTATAGTGTAAAAATCCTCAAATATGGAAGTTAAAGGTGCATTGTGTGGCTTTTTCTTGGTGGAGGGTCCGTCAAATGTCAAAATGCTTTTCTCCGTTGAGTTATTATTGTCTGGAATGTTCCACAGTGTGGCTTTAAACCTTTCTTGACGGAGACCAAACCAGACCAAGTTACAGGTCAGATCTGTGGAGAGCAGAGGCCGCTCACAGTCACAATGTCTGTTTTTCTAGGTATTTTTGAGCTATAAACCCACCTGTAAGTGAGTAAATGTAAAGTAGAGCTGTTTAATGTCATACTGCGGAACATTCCAGGCAGAGCAATGACATCTCTGTAGAAACAAGCAGTATCCCCAACCAAAAAGTGCCACAGTGCAGCTTTAAAATGACTTTGATTTGCTTTGAAAGAAGGTTTTACTTTAAGTTTTAAATGAAAAAAAAAAATCTGTCATATAATCAGCTGTAAGTTAAAAAAAAAATTGTCCAAACTAGTTAAAAATTTGAACTCAAGTGTCATTTTCCGGTCGGTTTCTTTTTCTGTGTGAGGAATAAGACGTGGGTTGCCATATATTCATGTTTCTTTTCTCTTCTCTTCAAAGTGGCAAAAACACTTGGCGGAATCTCTCTCCTTGTACAAAAGTATTACATTCAGTGATCACGTTTGACTCGAGGCACTAAACCTGTTGCCAGAGAAGATCATTAAGAGCCATTCAAAGTTGCATAATGCGTCTGGTTGCCATGACGATTACAATATCTTGCATATCATACTGTGAGTTACGTTGGATCTTACAGGTTGTTACAGGGATTTTTCTGAGAATGTTACACAGTGCAGCATTAAACGTATCTATCTCCATGGAGACAAATGAGCAGGTGAAGCCATCAGGCCACGTTACAAGCCAGATCTACGGAGTGGCTACACCAGACGCAGTAACAAAGCGTGTTTCTGTAATTCAATTCAGTGCAAGCTAGATAAGTTTAAAGCTACACAGTGGAACTTTTTCAAAACAGACCTGGAGTTGCATTTGTTTCATTCACATGTTTGAGTAACTCCTTATTATTCATCTGTCTACATCTGCAAACCTCTAAACGCTCTGTTCCACCTTGTGATGTCACGTAGTTAAGGTTGCGCAATTAATAGAATTTTTATTGCGATTTCGATTTGTGTCAAACAATCTCCAAACTCATGTAATCAAGTTGAATCAGTGTATCATTTGTTCATTCGTTTTTCAAAATAAAACCAAAAATAAGAAAACGGAAAAACAACTATTTTCTTCTTTATTTGTCTCAAAAACCAAAATGGAAAAATGGAAAACAATTCGTTTTTTCAATTTTCAATTTTGTGTTTAAATAAATAATGAAAAAAAAAAAAAAAAAAAAAAAAACGGATAATGACGTGACTACGTGACTTAAACTGAGATGCCGGACTGAACCAGGACTAAACCAGGTCTAAACCTGGACTAAACTAGGACCAAACCAGGTCTAAACCAGTTCGAAACCTGGACTAAACCTGGTTTAGTCATTTTGGTTTTGGAGACAAATAATGAAGAACATTTTTTATATTTTTTATATAAATACGTATATTTATTTTATTTTTTAAATATAGAGTTTGTAGAAGAGCTGGATATGGATATGTTTTTCTATGTCTTATTTCATGTTTCAAAGTTTATTGTATTCATTTTATGTTTTACACATCGCAAAACTGCTCTAAGGTTCATAGTTGTAGCCTAGATTTATTTTCAATTTAGAAGTTTTGCATAAATTATCAATAACAAAATGAGAGAGAAATGCTGAATAAATGCAACGTGTAACAAAAAAATTATCACTTGAATAATCGTAATACAAAAAATAAACTAATAACAAAGTGAATGTTATGGACGGATATTGTCATTTTTTTTATTTTAAGACTTGGTTCAATGATGAAAATATGGCACACAAAAATAAAAGTGGTTGCCATGTTCACTGCTGTAAAAAAAATATATAATAAAAATAAAATAAATAATCATTTGAGTAACAGTGTTTTCAATATTGACCAAAATAATCGTGATAATGATTTTTTTCCATAATCGAGCAGCCCTACATGTAGTGGCAGTTTTCAAGTTAAAACAGCAACCTTTTTACTTTTAGTTCCGTCGAGATCGGCAATTCCAGTTCTGAAATCAACCAAATAATTCTAGTGAAGGTGCATGGAGTTTAAAAAGCGAAATTAAACTCAGCGCAACCCAACTCCAGGTCTGTTTATGCCGAGAAGAGATTACAAAACAGATCAGAAACCAGCGTAACTCGGGCCCTTTAACAACAACAAATTCCAAAACACGTAACAGTAACTAACACTAGACTCTTAATGGCATTGCTTGGCGCTATGTTCCGATACAAAAACAGTGCATCACAATCTCAGCATTCATTTGAACACAATGGAAAACACTTGGCGAAGACACGCGTTTAAAAATAGGACGTTCCAAAAGAGTTGCCAGGTCGGACAATAGGATCCCTTTCGGAGAGCTATTCAAAGTTGCCAGATAACATTCATCGTAACATTGTTTGGATACGAAACTGTGTACGAGGAAGACAACACACGTCTAAAATGGAACGTGGAAGATGTGGTTAAAGGTCCAATATTACACAGAACGGACTCTTGTGAACTTCAGGTCGTGTTCTAATGGTGTTTCCTTCTCAAAAACAGACCTGGAGTTGTGTTTTGTTTCACTCACACACGTTTGAGTAACTCTGCATTACTAGTCTGTCTACATCTCCAAACTCAAAACACTCTGTTCCAATTTGTGATGTCACGAAGCGGTAGTTTTCAAGTTTAACGCTACTTTTTATGTTTAGTTCAGACGAGATACATGCATCACGAATCTCGGACTTCCAGTCATTGTGCAATTCATACTGGGAAGGATTTTCAGAAAAAATGAGCATCAAACCTCCATGTTTGTTTTCCCAGTGGGATGTGTCTATTGACAAAGTTTTCTAGTCTTTTGAACCATATCACTTTTGTTTCTGGTTCTGATATTGTCATATTTTAGTTTTGGGATGCGGGACATTGTAATTGTGTGGTTGTTCGCTCCGAACAGCGGAAAACGGCTTGAGAAATTTGTTTGCAAACTTCATAAATGCAAAAGAGAATCAAGTGTGACAACAAAGCAAAACCCCGATCCCTCACTCAACCTTGGTTATGAATTTAAAAAGTCTGTTCAAGCTGTTCACTAAGAAACAACTTCCACTGCAAAACGACCAAGACGTGATGTTGCTGTAAAACCACAAGAACAAGAAAGTGCAGCTCAGTCTGTTTGTCTTCTGCTCCTCTCACTTAACAAACGGGATCTGCTTTGTTGCCGCTTCACATACAAAATGTTCACTGTAAACTCAGGATGATTTAGTCAGTCAAAGTTTTCCTTTTTCATCCTTCCTGTGGATCAATCCTGCCCATCACCTTCACCTTTCACTATTTTTCAATTCTGTTGGGAAGAGAAACAGTTTGAACAGAGGTTTGAGTCACACACATCTGATTCCCTTTTACATTTATAGGAGTTTGCAAACTAATTTCTCGAGCCGTTTTCCGCTGTTAGGATCCAACAACCACACAATTACAATGTCTGAATCCCAAAACTAAAATATGACAATATCAGAACCAGAAACAAAAGTGATATGGTTCAAAAGACTAGAAAAGATCGACTTTGTCAATAGACACATCCCACTGGGAAAACAAACATGGAGGTTTGATGCTCACTTTTTCAGAAAATCCTTCCCAGTATGAATTGCACAATGACCGGAAGTCAGAGATTCGTGATGCATCTACTGGCAATTCCAGCGGTGAAGTTATCTAACTGATTCTAGTGAAGCTGTTCACAGTTTCACAACAAAATGGAGCACTTTCTGTATCACATATGACATCACAAGGTGGAACGGTGTTTTCGGATTGAGAGAAGAACTCGGCCTAAAAATGCAGGTTTGTGCAAATGAAACAAAACAACTCCACGTGAAACAACATTACAACACAGATTGTAAAACAGCGTAATATGGAACCTTTAACGTATTTGATCGTATAAAAAAAAAAAAAAGCTTTCAAATTCAGTTTCAATCGTGATTTTGAACTTTTTCTTGGCAAATGCGACACATACTTTGACAAACATGGAGGACATTGGAGATTTCTGACAATCTGCAGTGCATAAAAAACAAAACAGAATTGAAAAATTTGAATAGTTTAGGAAGATCGACTTTTTTTCTTCCAGTAAAATCGTCTGAAGCTACATGTACGGTAAAGGTAAGTAAAGGTTTCACAAACCTTCGATCATTTTCATTCATTTAAAAATCATTTGCACTAGATGATACTGGGCTGGTTTCACTTGGTTCTTTTAAATAATGAGATGGTGTATTAGAACAGGGAGGGCGGTGGTTCAAATCCTGCTCTAACCTGTCCATATAGTTATGTCATTGGGCAAGACACTTCACAAACCTTGCCAATGACGCCAACGGGATAGAAGGAGGGAAAGATTGAAGGAGGGAGAGAATAAGAGATTGAGGGAGGGAAAAATGGACGGAGAGGGAGGGAGGGATTGAGAGATGAAAGGAGGAACAGAGGGAGGAAAGGAGATAGAGAGAGGAAGGGAGGGAGGGAGGAAGGGAGAGATTGAGAGAGGGAGGGAGACTGAGAGAGGAAAGGAGGAAGGGAGAGATTAAGAGGAAAGGAGGAAGGGAGGGAGAGGTTGAGATGGGAAAGGAGGAAGGGAGGGAGGGAGGAAAGGAGGAAGGGAGGGAGAGATTGAGAGAGGAAAGGAGGAAGGACAGGAGAGATTGAGGGAGGGATGGAGGAAGAGATTGAGAGAGGAAAGGAGGAAGGGAGGGAGGGAGAGATTGAGAGAGGGAAGGAGGAAGGACGGGAGAGATTGAGAGAGGGAGGGAGATGGCGGGTGAGAGGGAGGGAGGGAAAAAGAGATTGAGGGAGTGAAATGGACGGAGAGATCTAGAGGGAGAGAGGGAAAGATGGAGGGAGGGAGAGGGAGAGACTGAGGGAAGAAGACACTATCATCATGTAGCGTTTCCGGTGGAGATGTTATTTCATGCGCAGAAAATTCCACATTATGGCATTAAACCTTTCTGTCTCCATGGAGACAAGCAGCTGACACCACCGGTGACAAAGTTACAAGTCAGATCTACGGAGAGGCGACCCCACTCACTCTAAGAACACTTGCTTTGAAGGTATTTTCGAGCAAAAAAAACACTTGTGATAAATACTAGATGTAATGTAAACGTTTAATGTTCTACAATGGAACCTTCCGGGCGTAGAAATAACATCTCCATGGAAATCCGCAGAAAAAGTTACATAGTGCATCTTTAATTTGTGAAACCAACCCAGAAAAGAACAGAAGTTTGTGGACGGCTGATATTACGATATTACAGAGTGTTTATGTTTTCTAATGAGGTTCCTAAGCTTTATCATGTTTATTTGTCAGATTCTGGTGAGTTCTGGCTGGTTCGGGCGAGTTCAGATTGGAGTGGACCGCTTTGGACCGGTTGTGGCTGGTTTAAACCGGTTACAGATGTGTTTAAAGTGGTCCTAATGTTGAGATATGAGGTTTCGGAGCTGCTTTATCACTGTATCGATGAGTTTCTGGCGATCGCGGTCTGTTTTTCTCAGTTGAGCCAAAATCATGTTCTTCTTTCCAGTTTCTCTCATTCTGAAACACAGCAGAGTCAAGACATCAGACCAGCAGAGGGCGCTGTAGGGTGAGAGGCGCTGTACCGGATTTATTTTTTCCATGTAATAAACTCTCTAAACGCTCAAAAACTTAGAAAATCATGAAAAAGTTCTAGATTTTTTGACACTTTTTCAGAAAGTCCAACCTATATATTATATAGACCAAATTTTATTCTACTTTTTTGAGATGGTCTATTGGAAAAGCTGCTCTTGGACTGCTGATTATAAAGTTTCCACAAATCAGGATGTGCGTCGTTAGCATTCTAGTGGTCGTTAGTATGAATGTGGCTTGTTTTGGCCTCTGACGGTTGTGAAAAATTCTTCTAAACTCATTATAGTGAATCCTTAGGACGCTCTGAAAGTATAAGGTAAGTGAGGAAGAACTTTGGACCACTGCAAACTGTTTCAAATGATCTAGTTCCGTTTTTCACATTTTTAAGACAGAAAAAAAAACCATGTACAGCGCCTTTAAACAATGAGTTATAATATAAAGTTATGTTATTACAATTGTGAATAAAACAAGGTCAGTTTTAGAGTTGTATCATTGTCATTTGAGTGCCTGCAAATACTTCAGTCATCAGTTATATTATTAAGGTTGGGGGTTCGATCCTAGTTTTTCCGATGCTGCTGTTGTGTCCTTTAGCAAGACACTTCACCCACCTTACCTTGAAAATGCTACAGAGCTGCTAAGTGATGATGTCACTTCCAGGGTCCGACGAGAAACTTCAGAGTTCTAGTTTTGTTTTTGGTCAACGAACTAGAGTTACCTTTCAAAAGTGTGTTAAACCACAAACTCTATCCAGTGTGTCAATAATGTAGTAAGAGTCTAGGATAACGAGTGGCGACAGTCGCTCAGTTGGTAGAGCGTTTATCCACTGATCAGAAAGTTGGGGGTTGGAATCCCGCTCTCGACATAAACATCATTGGTTGGCTGGTGTGACTCCAGCTCCCACAGATGATTGCTATTGTTGTGTCCTTGGGCCCTCAGTGTCTGCGTACACTGGTGTATGAATGTGTGTGTAAATTGGTGTGTGGTTCGTTGTTGTAAAGTGCTCTGAGTGCCTTAAAGGTGGAAAAGTGCTGTATAAAAATGTGATTTAGCAGAACCAGTGTGTCTATCTCACTAACTGCCAGCCGCTTCTTATCTGTGACTGTGAATGAACATGGCTAACCCACTGTAAATAAGAAGTGACCATGGGTACACTTCTGGCTCCATCGTCTCTGACTCCAGTTGACTTTACATTGAAAAAGGTCACGTGTCTACATGACTGCTGCTCTGAGCCTCGCCATTTTGGTCTTAAAATGTTCATATTAACCTGCTCTACATGATCCTGGTGTTTTTTATTTTGCCATTTTGTCCAAAAATATATTACATATAACTGCAAGTCTCAATGAGCTTCATTTGACTGGAGCTGAATACTGTGAATGACGTCACGCTCACTTAGTCCACGTCTTCAGACAGTTGTTCTTACCTCCACCTACCTCCACCTACCTCTGACACTTTCTGTCAGTTAGATCCATGTTTATAGTCTTGTTAGCTTTAAACCACAGTAACTAAAAAAAGGAAATTGTTAATTTTTTTCCAATCAGCTGATGGACCTGGAAGTGACATCACACTCAACAACTCTGAAGGAGACTAATGCAACTCTGTAAATCAACATAAACAATTGGAATCTCTGGATTTTTTTCAGACAACACAATTTTCACATCAAAATCTTAAAAACATGCTTTTTTCAAACTGTTATTTTCAAAAACCCATCCAACAAGCTCCTGAAAACAGAAGGGTTTAAAATTATATTCAGTGCAATTCACTAATTTCTTATGTGTCAGTTTTATTGATACTTTGCAGCTGCTGATGTCATCAACACTTCCTGGGGGTGTGAAGCTAACTGTAGACACTGCTCTGTCTGAAGCTCTCTGAAGACATCTTTAATCAGAGCTTTTTCTTTACATAATCTGACCAGAAAGAACTGACTTAGCTGGAACTACAACAGCTGATCTGGTTTGTGCTGTTAAACAAGTCTCTCTCATATAAAATTAGTCAGTTTTTCAGTTAGTCACTCTCAGCTTTTTGTTGAAAATCAAACTCCTAAACAGGACCAAACTGTGACTCAAACTGATCACAGGCTCCTGAAAATGTGCTCTTTAAATCCATTTTGTATTTTTTCTTGAGTTTTTAGACAATCTTCTAACTTATTTTTTTTTTTTTATTTTGTATGACCAGGGTATCCCCAGGTTTGACTACCCCAAATTTAAGACCTTTTTAAGAGCACTTAAATGAAAATTAAGACCAACATCACACCCATTATGTGGGCAAAAAAACACCAGGTCGAATTCTCATAATGACCAGCCAACTATTGTACTATATCTAGAATCTAAGGCTACGTTTGTGACAGTACTAACAGAAGACACAAATGTGGTGTCACGTCTTCACTTTTTATTCCACGTATAAATGAGTGTTTTCGTGAGGAAATCTGCGTGCATACTGTGACGCAAAAGTGTGGAATTGGGTTGGGTGTGCATGCCAGGCGGCTCGGTGGTGACGCTCGGTGGTGATGTATGTGACGTAAACACATACACAACGTGAGCAGATCTGACCAGAGTTTTGCATCTTGGGCAGTGTAGACGGAACTGATTGTTTACTCATTGCTGCCGGTGCCAAAAACCAAAGTATTGTTTGAACATACTCCAAATTAGACGTTCATTCATGTTACGTTATTTCATGTTGTTGTTGTTTTTTCCCTCCTTCCATTTATCATCGCACTGCAGCCCGGTTGAGTTTACAAAAAAACAGGCTAATGAATTTTAAGACTTTTGTGAAAAAAAAAAAAAAGACTTGGACAACATCATTTAAGACTTTTTAAGGCCTTAATTTAAGAACTCATGGCTACCCTGATAACTATACTCCTATAATATACTTGTACTTGTACATACACATTTATATAATTATGCCAAATTTGAAACTAGTCTCAGCTATTATTAAGAATTACATATATATATTTTTTTTTTCTTTGTGACTTTATATTTATTGTGATATGTGAGCTACTGGGTCCAAATATTTTCCAGTTTCCCTTGTGGATCAATAAAATTGAAGTCCAAGTTTATTTGCTAATATGTGCATTGTGCCACCATGGTAACGGCTGAACATTCTGCCAATAGAGATACATGTAGAACACCCCCAGCGTGACGACACTGCAAAGTATCAACAGAAAAATACCATTTAAATTCCCAATAATTAACAACAATTTTAAGTGCCATATTAACTACACATGCAAAAGAGATCCACTCATCCTAGAACTTCAGGTTACGTTAAGGGTCGTGTCTTGGGACCTCCAGGAAGTTCAGGGGGCCACGCTCGGATACTCGGCCCGGCGGGGTGCTTCCTCCCGGGGCAGAGGGGACCACCGAGCCTGGGTCTTCTGGAGGCCACGGTTCTTTTTGTGTTTTTACTCTTCAGTGTTTATGTGGGTTTCTTAATCTGACCATCTCACCTAGACTTGTGTTAGTGATGCGCAGATAAAAATAAAATAAATAAAAATGTGGGTGTTTTTGCACAAGAATTGTATTTACACAAAGGGTTAGTGGAGCCACACATGTGCAGAGCATACTCACGGCTTTGATAACCTGTTTTAACACGATGGAGGAGAGGAGGAGGAGAGGTGGAGGAGAGGAGAAGCAGGTGAGAGAGAGGACAGAGACGAAAAACAAAAACAAAAGAGAATACGGTGGCCTGGAAGGGTCATACTAATGTACAGACAGGAGCTCAGGAGTTCAACTATGACTTTAAAAAGCCCATATTATACTATATCCTCATCAAAAATGTAACAGTTGTGTTTTGTTTTATTCACAAAAGTTTAAAGGTGCGTTGTGTAGTGCTTCAGCTTCACTAGAATCATTTGGATCATTTTAAAATTCAAATTCAAAAATGTTTATTTTTGTTGTCAATTTTTCATACGAAAAAATATGAAGAATCGAAATTGTGTTTCTCATGCCCAAGGGTATAAATATTGTATTTTCCGCACTATAGTTCGCTCTGGATTATAAGGAGCACTGTCAGTGAATGGTCTATTTTCTAACTTTTTTCACAAATAAACCGCACTGGACTTTAAAGGAAACAACAGTGTGATGGGTGAGTGGTTTTGTTTGTTTGTTCGTTCACGGTGACTCTGGGCTTTGTTCAGTTGTGGCGTGTAGGGAGGGTGTGTCTGGGACCAACGGATTGTCGGCGTGTTCACAGTGACTCAGTTGTTCAGTCGTGTCTAGAAGTGGCACATTGCACTCGCTTTTTCGGTTCGTTCCTCCGTTCCTCGTCGGTGTGGAGTGATGAGTGTGTCTGTGGGTGTTTTTCACTGCACGGTCTCTGTCTGCTCCATGTGTGTTTGTGTGTTCTGTGGGTGGTGCGGCTTTGTAGTTTACTAAAGTCGTGCTGGGACATCCGAGTAGATTCATGTATAGGGCGCTCTGGATTGTGGGGAGTCATTTTTTTGATGGGTTGGAGTATGCCTTATAGCCCAGAAAATACGGTAAATAAAAAAATGGAAAAGTCCAAGTGTTCCTTCATTTCAGCCCTGGAATTACCAGTCTGCACTGTTTTAGGTAAACTGTAGCTGTTAACTTGAAACTACAGCTTCATGATATCACAAATTGGAACAGAGCATTGTGAGCTTTGGAGATGCTGACAGACTAATAATAATAAAGGATTACTCAAACATGTGTGAATGAAACAAAACACAGCTCCGGGCATGTTTTTGATGAGGTAACACATTATAAACATGGCTTAGAGAGTCCATTTTTGTGTAATTTACGACCTTTAATAATTTCCAATTTCAAATGTAATGATACTACTTTAATCAAAGTGAAATCAAACAGAATATGATCATCAGCCAATCCTCTGTCAGTACAAGAATGTGGATTTGAGTTCAGACTGGAATTTTCTTGTATTAAATTCCTAAGACTAAGTGAACCAGAAATGAAAATTGAAAACATTTTAAGTAGTTTAAGTTTTAAAATGAACACAAAAAGACAAATATTTTCTTAGGAGCATTTTTTTTTAGGTCAGATTATGCACTGAACTTTCATAACTGACATTGTTAAAATGTTGTTTCTTTCTCAAAAACAGACCTGGAGTTGTGTTTTGTTTCATTCACACATGTTTGAGTAACTTTATTATTACTCTGCCTACATCTCCAAAACTCAAAATACTCCACCTTGTGATGTCATGTAGTGGTAGTTCTCAAGTTAACAGCTTCCTTTCACATTAAAGGTTGTATGGAGGATTTTTTTTTTTTAGTTTCAAATTGTCAATGAAAGTTTAAAATACCATTACAGAGACGCAGCAGTCTTGTAATTTTGATGACCAAAATAAAATAAGAATGAAAATCTATCAACTGTGAACGTAGTGAGGCCAGATAAACATTAGCCAATAAATAATGAGGCTACCTCATTTTTTATTGGCTGTCAGGTTGTCAATCAAACTCCCTACGTTTCTAGTGTAACTGACTCACGGCGCGCTGGGATTATGTGGTTTATGCAGCGGTTCTTAGAGGCTTTTTAAAACTGTTGCTTCCTCGCAATTCGCACAAAGTTTGTCGCGATGGTGGACGAGAATCCAGGACCAGTTCGCCGCAAAAGAAAGTCTGTTTTTGAGGTCGCTGAAAGACAAAGAGAAGGGAAAAAGGAGCAAAACCAAACTGAGGTGATTCTTGGAGATTCCTTCCAGCGATGGCGCGACTGAAGCAGACGAAGGGTCTAAAAACTAATGCGTCGGTCGCTAAATTATTTCTAGATAGGTCACCTCAATAGTAATTCTGAATGCGCATTGGCTGTAAACAAGCATGATTTCTAGAGTAAAGAGGCAGGAGGAGATGTTTCTACTGAGGAGCTGTGGAGGAGGAAGGTGGTGTCACACATGCACAACATTTGAAAAAGGACTGTCACTGTATTTCACTTTCCTTAAAAAAAAATCCTTTAAGTTCAGCAGAGATAGGAAATTCCAGGTCAGAAATGATCCACATGATTCTAGTGAAGATGTATGGATCTTAAAAACACAATGGAGCACTTCCTGTATTAGTGTTTTTTGTTTGAGAGAAGTACAATATTATTAGGTAAACTACATAAATGTGTACAAATTTACTTGCAAAGAATAGATAGTGTGCGTTTACCTATCTGCAAACTCCTAAATTCAAGACAATCCTACACCAATAAAATACACCTTTATGTATAGTTTTTTGTGTGTGTTCCGTGACTGTTCCAGGCCGCCGTACCTGGAGGACATGTCTGTGAGGTTGTGGTACTCACTTCTCCAGTAGAGCCAGAGCTGTGTGGGGGTTCACTCTCAGATATTTGGAGCTGGCTTTTCCATAATCGGCCAAATACGTGGACCAATCCCACTGAGTGAACAGGTCCAGCAACTACAACAGAAAACAAACAAAACACATGATTAGAGATTTGAAGGTGCACTGTGGAACTTTCCTGATGAGAGAGTCTGCCAGTTGTCCATTTCCAGTTTTTGTTTTGCCTGGAATTTCCTACAGCACAAAGTTTAAACGTGTACATTTCCCAGAAAGCAAGCGGGTCATGTTATAAGGCCAAGTTACAGGTCAGATCTGTGGAGAGGTGACTATGCAGTAACAGCTCCATGGAGACAAATAGGTGGCGGTTGCATAGTTCACCTTTAAGGATTATTTTTACAGATTATTTGACACGGATCTGAACGTCATTTCACAGAAGCGGGTTGTGGATACACAGGCCACGGTACGATACAAACCTCGATACAAAGGCCACGATACGATACCTCGATACATAGGCCACAATACAAAAGCTCAATACATAGGCCACAATACGATACCTCAGTACATAGGCCACTATACGATACATACCATGATACAAAGGCAACGATACAATACACACCTCGATACAAAAGTAATGATACAATACACACCTCGATACAAAAGTAATGATACAATACACACCTCGATACACAAGATACATGATACAATACACACTCGATACAAAAGTAATGATACAATACACACCTCGATATAAAAGTAATGATACAATACATTCCTCGATACATAGGCCACAATACAAAAGCTCAATACATAGGCCACAATACGATACCTCAGTACATAGGCCACTATACGATACATACCATGATACAAAGGCAACGATACAATACACACCTCGATACAAAAGTAATGATACAATACACACCTCGATACAAAAGTAATGATACAATACACACCTCGATACAAAAGTAATGATACAATACATTCCTCGATACATAGGCCACAATACGACACATATCTCAATACATATGCCATGATACGATACATACCTCGACACATAAACCACAATACCACAATGCACAGACCATGACACATACTTCGATACGACAAATATCTCGATACAAAGGCCATGATATGATACATAGGCCAGGACACAATACATATCCACGATACAATACATTCCTTAATACAAAGGCCACAATACGATACATACCTCCATACATAGGCCACAATACAATGCATATCACGATGCATAGACCACAATACATACTTCGATATGATACATATCTCGATACAAAGGCCACGACACAATACATATCTCAATACATACACCACAATACCACACCATGATACAAAGGCCACGATACATAGGACACGATATGATGCATATGTGCACTTTCAATTCAGTACAATATATTTCAAATTGATTCGATGCGATTCAATAAAATATAAAGGCTAAATCGTAGCTATGATACTCTTTTTTAAATCACTTCTTGTGTAAAGTGAATATGAAACACAAACATTTCACTCATCAAAACAGCGAACATGTCAACGTGTGGGATAAAAAAGTTTCCTTCCCCTAAACAAGCAACAAAACTGTAGCATTGTAACAAAATTATTTAGTAAAATATACCAAAAAATACTCTTAACGACATATCGACACAGCAGCCCCTGATATCGATACTGTATCACATTATATGACATCACATGACATGGTATGATATATTGTGAGTTCGACTTCAATGGGACTCCTAATTCGCTCGTGTAAATGTTAGCCTCATGAGCTTCATTTGACTGGAGCTGAACGCTGTGGGTGACGTCACCTTTCCTTAGAACACTTCTTTATACGGTCTGTGGTAGGAACATGAATGAAAAATAGATGTCAGAACGTTACGAAAGCGTAGAGAATGTGATCTGTGAGAGCCCCGGAGCCTGAGTCCTCCACGCGTGTCGGGAACAGTCCATATGGAGGCGGATAAAATGGCCGCCCTGGTTTATCTGTGACTGTTTTGAATCATTTGTTTTGGGTGTTTGGCCCTGAGCGCAGGCAGAGGTTTCAGCCTGTTGTATAACCTCACAGTGCCCCAATGAACTCTGGATCACACTCTTTCTCTCCTCCCTTTCCCCTCATCTCTCCCTCTCTCTCTCTCTCTCTCTCTCTCCTGCTCCCCCTCGCTTTCCTTCCTCTAGTTTTCTCCCTCTTTCCCAGCTCTGCTCTCTCTCTCTGTCCACCCTCTCTCACCTCTCTCTCTTCCCACTCTGTCATCCCTCTCTCTCTCTTCTCTCTACCACTCTCTCCCCACTCTTTCATCCCTCTCTTTCCTCTCTACAGCTCTCTCTCCACATTCATTCCTCTCTCCCCCCTCTCTCTCCACTCTTTCTTCTCTTTACCACCCCCCTTCCTCTCTCTATCACACTCTCTACCACTCTCTCCCCCCTCTTTCATCCCTCCCTCTTTCCTCTGTAAAACTCTCTCCCTGCTCTTTCATTCCTCTCTCTCCTCTCTTCCACACTCTCTCTCCTCTCTCTTCCACACTCTCCACCCTTTCCCCTCTCTTTCATCCCTCTTTCACCTCTCTCTCTTCCCACTCTGTCATCCCTCTCTCTCTCTTCTCTATACCACTCTCTCCCCACTCTTTCATCCCTCTCTTTCCTCTCTACAGCTCTCTCTCCACTCTCCCCCTGCACTTTCATTCCTCTCTCCCCCCTCTCTCTCACTCTCTCTACCCTTTCATCCCTCTCTCTCACACTCTCTCCACCCTTTCATCCCTCTCTTTCTCTCCACTCTCTACCACACTCTCTCCACTCTTTCTTCTCTTTACCATCCCCCTTCCTCTCTCTATCACACTCTCTCCCCTCTTTCATCCCTCTCTCTTTCCTCTGTAAAACTCTGTCCCTGCTCTTTCATTCCTCTCTCTCCTCTCTTCCACACTCTCCACTCTTTCCCCTCTCTTTCATCCTTCTCTCACCTCTCTCTCCACTCTCCCTGTGCACTTTCATTCCTCTCTCCCCCTCTCTCCACTCTCTCATTCTCTCCACCCTTTCATCCCTCGCTTTCATCCCTCTTTCTCTCCACTCTTTCATCCCTCTCTTTCTCTCCACTCTCTACCACACTCTCTCCACTCTTTCTTCTCTCTACCATCCCCCTTCCTCTCTCTATCACTCTCTCCACTCTCACCCCTCTTTCATCCCTCGCTCTTTCCTCTATAAAACTCTCTCTCTCTGCTCTTTCATTCCTCTCGTCCACCCTCTCTCCCCTCTCTCTCTCTATCACACTCTCTCCACTCTCTCCCCCCCTTTCTTCTCCCTCATTCCTTCTCTCTCCCCCTTCACCCTCTTTGTCCCTCTCTTCCCAGTCTCTCTCTTTGTCCCTCTCTTCCCAGTCTCTCTCTTTGTCCCTCTCTTCACTCTTTCTCCAACCTTCTCTCTCCCCCTCCCTCCACCCCTCTCCCTCTCTTTCTCCCTCCCACTCTCTGTCCTTCTCCCTCTGTCTCTCTCCCTCTCTTCACCCACTTTCTCCAGCCCTCTCTCCCTCCATCCCTCTCTCTCAACCTCCACCCCCTTCCTCTCTTCATCGTCCCTCCCACTCTGTTCTTCTCCCTCTCGTCTCCCTCTCTTCTCCTTCTCCCTCTCTTCTCCTTTCCCGCTCTTCTCCCTCTCCTCTCCCTCTTTTCACCCTCACATCTCCCTCTCCTCTCCCTCTTTTCACCCTCACGTCTCCTTCTCCCTCTCCTCCTTCTCCCTCTCCTCTCCTTTCCCGCTCTTCTCCTCACGTCTCCCTCTTTTCACCTCACGTCTCCTCTCCTCTCCCTCTTTTCACCCTCACGTCTCCCTCTCCTCTCCTCTTTTCACCCTCACGTCTCCCTCTCTTCTCCCTCTCATCTCCCTCTTTTCACAGTCACGTCTCCCTCTCCTCTCCCACTCTCCTCTCCCTCTCTCTCCTCTCTCCCTCTCTCTCTCCCACCTCTCTCTCTCCTCTCCTCTCCCCTCCTCTCCCTCTTCTCCCTCTCTCTCCTCTCCACCTCTCTTCTCTCTCTCCTCTCCTCTTTTCTCCCTCTCCTCTCCTCTCCTCTCCTCTCCCTCTCGTCTCCCTCCCTCTCCTCTCCTCTCCCACCTCTCTTCTCCCTCTCCTCTCCCTCTCCTCTCTTCCACCTCTCTTCTCCCTCTCCCTCTTTCTCCCTCTCTTCTCCCTGACTGTGAGGTATCGCCGCTGAACTCTGTGCCACTCTGAACGCACGCCCTCTATAACGCCAGAGTAAAAACACATGTGAGCGGAGGGGAGGGAGGGAGAGAGGGAGAGAGGGAGAGAGGGATAGAGAGATGGAGCGATAAAGAGATAGAGAGATAGACAGCAGGTACAAAACAGGAAGAAGAAACAGAACAGAAGTCAAGAGCGTGGAGGTAAACAAATAATAAGGAGGATAGTGGGCGGAAGACAGAAGTCATCAGGTATGAGTAGTGCACAGTTTCACAGATGAATTTTGTTTCAGTCCATCAAAATGTGTATAAATCGTACAATATTTTTAGATGATGAAGATTTATAAGGGAATGAGTGAGTGCGTTGGTATTTTTCATCCTTTTTGCCTGAGCAGGTGTAGTCTTGTGAGTGAAGACAGGACTAGACCAGGACTAGACCAGGACTAGACCAGGACTAAACCAGGACTAAACCAGGACTAAACCAGGAATGAACCAGGACTAAACCAGGACTAAACCAGGACTAAACCAGGAATGAACCAGGACTAAATCAGGACTGAACCAGGACTAAATCAGGACTGAACCAGGACTAAACCAGGACTAAACCAGGACTAAACCAGGACTAAACCAGGACTAAACTAGGACTAAAACAGGACTAAACCAGGATGAAACCAGGATGAAACCAGGACTAAACCAGGACTAAACCAGGACTAAACCAGGGCAAAACCAGGGCAAAACCAGGGCAAAACCAGGACTAAATCAGGACTAAACCAGGACTAAATCAGGACAAAACCAGGACTGAAACAGGACAAAACCAGGTCTAAACCAGGTCTAAACCAGGACTAAACCAGAACTAAACTTTTGCCTGAACAGGTGTAATCTTATGAGTGCAGTTCGGGTCAGAAACACAGAGATACAGATATAGTTTT